AAAGAAGATACTTTCAAATTTGTGGGGGAAGGATTTGTTGTTGTTCTCATTTGTTGTTCCCTCTCCAGATGGAGGGAGAAGCCAAGCAGGTACAATATCTCCTGAAAATATACCTGGAATAATCCATCTACAATCACAGAAATTGTAAGTAGGACAAGGATATGCGTTAGGTTATCTTTTGTTTGGGCTTGTTAATTTTCCTATGCTACAGAGGTAGTTTTATTCCTATTTTTGAAATTTTGAAGCTGAGCCAGAGGGGAATCCTCTGTTTTTTTAATCTTTTTATTACCGGTAAAGTTACCTTCCATCTTGATTTTGCAGGTGTGATTCTTTTACTTTCTTCTTTACAAATAAAGTTTTTCTTTTAAGAACCTGATTGGTTTTTAGTGTCCTGAAGACAAAGGGTCTGGTCTGTGCTCACATTGCTAAGGCAATTGGTTGGTATATTATTCTCAAGCCTCCCCAGGAAAGGGGGTGAAAAGGCTTGGGGCGATATTTTGGGGGGATCCCTATTCCAAGTGACCCTTCCCTGAATTTTTGTGTAAATCACTTGATGATAGCAGCAATACCATCCAAGGATAAGGAAAGGAATTTGTGCCTTGGGGAAGTTTTAACCGAAGTTGGTAGACTATACGCTTAGGGGGTCTTTCGTGTGGGTCCCCACATCTGCACCCCAGAGTTCAGGGGGGTGGAATCCTGACACAGTCCCACTAAAAAAATTAGGCAACATCCACATTTTACACTTCTTATAACCTTTTTTTACACATACTTGGGGCCCAAACTATGGCTCTGATCCTGATATTACTCTCTTGGGATCAATCGTGGATAATTTCCACCATCCACTTTTCTTTTGGGAAAGCAATAATTAAAAAGCTATTATGGGGCTGGGGTAGAATTTATGGTGCAAATTTAGGTCATTTGATCAAGAGGTTTCCAATATATATCCCCCCCCTGCATTATGAACTTCTATTAATTTTCAAAGTACTCTAAAATCCACATGCATAATGAGATTATCTAGGATATTTGTATGCCACAACAAGGGCAATGGGGCAAGTTTGGAGTAATTTGGTTCAGGCATTCCTCAGATACTGCCCTCCCCCCTTAAAAATATTTTAATATTCCAGTTGCTCTAAAACTGATATGTATACCGAGATTACCTTGAACAATGGTATTCCACAACTGAAACTGAGGTAGAGGGGAACTCCCATTGCGATGAATGGGTCACTTCACACCACCCAGAGCTATTGTGTTAGACTAGTCATCTCTTTGGTGTGTCCTAATTCATCTGAGCACACTCCACTGAGACGAATGGGCCATTCCACACATCAACAGCTCTCCTGTACTGCAGAGGGCTACGGAGAGCCCCTTCCTTTGCACTAGCTCCCTGAAGTGGATACAAAGCCTGGGCTCCCTGCTATTCCTCTTGCAGCCTCCAGCCGGTAGATGTGCTCCTAAAAGCCCATCAGTTACCATCCTCCTTTCTTCCCAGGGCCCTTCCAGCCCTACCGCGGGCATGGTGGGGCCAGGAGGAGGGCAGAGCTGGTAGTTAACGTGACGGATCATCATTCCCCTCCCACAGGTGCCCTCCAAACATGTCCCCTAACTAATGCCTCTTCCTTCAGAAACAAGGGAAATTTAACTGCCCAAAAACATGGTTAACACAGGCCTTGTTTACACTACAGCGCCTTTGCCAGTATAGCTATCCTGGCAGAGTCCCTCCATAGAGACATGGGGTAAGCTGACAGGAGTTCTGTCAACATAGCTACATCACCTCACCAAACAACATTAGCTAAGTTGACACCATTCTTCTCATAGCATAATTGTGTCTACAGCAGGGTTTTTGCTGACATAGCTATGTCAGCCGGGGGTGGGAATTTTTTTTTTTTTTCTTCACGATTCTAGAGGACATAGATATGCTGGCAAACTTTGTAGTGTAGATTAAGGCCTTCAAAGTTAGGTCAACATAAGTCACCTTTCGTCAACCTAGTTGTGCATGAG